GTGTGTGTGTGTGTGTGTGTGTGTGTGTGTGTGTGTGTGTGTGTGTGAGTGTGTGAGTGTGTGTGTGTGTGAGTGTGTGAGTGTGTGAGTGTGTGAGTGTGTGTGTGTGTGTGTGTGAGTGAGTGAGTGAGTGAGTGAGTGAGTGAGGCTTCACCTCGTCCCTTCCACTCTGTGCAGAGTGACCGTCACCACCACATACTTTGGTCATGCGGAGCAGGTGTCTCAGGAGATGTACCAGTACGTGGACTGTGGCGGGAACACCACGTCTGTCAGAGGGATGACTCAGCCGTTTAGCGTCCCACATCCTGCTGAGTAAACCCCCCCCTTCACCACATACAGTGTGTGTCTCAAAATATGATTTCCACATCTCAAAATTGTAAGAAAACAATACAAGATGTGTATCATACAGTTATGGGAGTACTGTCTCCTAGTTAGGAGATTCATACCTCATAATTATGAAAACCATAACTATAGTTACAAGATCTGTATCTTGCAATTACTATAAAACAATTTTATTAATAATAAATAATTCATTATTAATGTTTACATAGATAATTGCAAGATCAGTATCTAGTTATTACAAGAAAAGTTTTTAATAATTCTGAAATACGGATCTCGATAAAGCTGCTCTTTCCTGCCACACATGACGAAAATATAGTTCTTATTATTTGGTATTGGATTTGATTTTTTCCAACAGTGTTGAAGTGGCATCATCATTTTATTGTGACAACACTGTAATCAATAGATTCCACTCCATCGTAATCTCAGATTCACGCAAGAGGAGGGAACAAAAAGGCTATTTGTTAAAATAATAACTGTAGATTTGAAAAGTTGATGGTATTTCACTACATACCAAACCATTATGCACTTTATAAGTATATTTAAATAGCACACTTTATCAGTGTTCCTCCACCACCGCGTGTTAGGCTCTATGAAGAGGGATCCACAAAGAGTGGTGTTATTACACGGTAACAACATTCAGATACTGCGGTGTCTGATTCTGAGATCAGCTCATGTTTTACACTGTGTTCCTCTCTGACTGCACTGTCTGCTTTGAATTTGTATGATCTGCTGACTTGCCTACTTAGTTGCCGGGTGCTCATAATTATAGTTTATACATCGCTTGTTGTTCATACATGTTTTTGTCTTAAACTTTATAATGAATTGAAAGAAGTGGAGATTCCTCTTGGTCACGAAGGTTCTAGCACCACCTTTCACAAGGATGACGTTCAGAGTCACTTTCTGATACGACAGGCTGAACTGCTCCTTAGACAGAGAACAGTATAGATGTGCACGACATTAAGGCGGCACTGGGTGTGGAAAGAGCATGAAGTACCAGCAAAGTTACTAAACTGAGTGGAGTTGCTCTTTAATAAAAGGGTTTATCACTTTAGAGGGTCCTCGACCCATTTCTGTACTAACTCTGTTATACTCATCTGTACCTTAGTCGAATTGACTTAAAGAGTTACTAAACGTGTTGTTTTGATGGTTTCAGGTCCAGATTTTGACATTTAAGTCCACAGTTGTACTAGTTGTCTATTTTAATCAAATTTCTGAATATTTATTGTATTTAACACATTAGCAACAATGCAGACCACCGAAGCCTTGTGGTTGATCGATCATGAAGGGCCGTTTATTTTTTTAAGGATTGTTATTGGTAGCAGTTGTAGTATCTTTCTAACCTCGTGAATAAAGCATTATATTCTGTCCTCTCTACCCTGCACATCTGGAGCATCCTGTGAATTAGAGTTCAGTTGATTTGCACATTATGCATACTTCTCCCTCTACCTGTGCCGATTCCTAGACATGCTGGTCTCCTTTTTGTACCTCACATAAATATGACAAATTAATATTTTGTCCAACATTTCATTTTTTCAATGACACGCATATATATTTTCATCTTCGACCAAAATTCATCCAGTTTTGTATCAAACCTATTTTAAATTTGAAAAACATCTTGGGTATCTAGAATGTTGCATGATTTATGTCCATTTCCTGTAAACTGATGGTTGGGAAGCTAGACTACAGCTGTAACGTTTGTATCAAGTGGGATTTAAAGAGAAGCACACTTTTTTTTTATCCCAACATGCACCTTAACAGTCAATATTAACATTTCACTTTGGAAAAGCTATTTTAGACTCCTACCTCTATTGTCATTTCAAACATCTTGTTGGTCATTATTCATAGTGACTTTTTTTTGTGGGAGCATGAATAAAGTTTTGAAACATGATTGTGTTTTTTTTAATGTGTTTTTATATGCAAAGTATTATAACCCCTTCATTTTTTCACATTTTGTTTCAGGCATATGCTAAAATGAAGTTCTCTTCCCACTCTGACGGCCTGCCCACGGGCGGTCAGAGTGATAACGGCATATTTGTGTTATGCACACAACTGCTCATTTTCACCGCAAAATGGATGCTGCAGTCCGCCGGTTAGATTGACACCTCATTTGACCCAATAGGAGCTTCTATAGCCCGGTCACAGTCTGGAACAGCCAACGAGAGTTCGCTTTGAAAGACAATGCCCGCCTCTCTTCTTTGGTTATAGCTCGAGCCAATCGCAACAGATCCTGTTCAAACTCAGGCTCTATATAGCCAATGAAATTACGAAGCCAAGGATATGCAGATTTATCAGATGGCCCCCTGGGAAAGTTTTCAAAACTGCAATTGAAACCGTGACTGAGGTAACTGGGACAGAGTATCAAGAACAAAGTCTGGTTCATGAGAATTTTCAAGAATCTGTGAAAGTTGATAATGGTTAAATATGTTATAGTTAACCATATATCGACATAAATAAACTACAGTTTGAATTTCAGACATGTAGTTTTTCATAGTATATGCATTTTGACGTGGTGACGCAAGCCTCTAAATGTGTTTTTACACAGCTGCACTCTTAGTAAGCCATGTGTAAAATATTAATTTTCTGTTGTATTGTTATCAAATTCCAACCTGTACCAGGTATCATTCCTCCATTCTACCTAACCAGTGTCTTTTCTGGGCCGTAAGTGCCAGCCATAGATAACTGCTGCCATCTGTTGGCCAAAACAAGTCCAGGGGGAAATAAAATGCTTCTCTTTCACTGTGCTGAAAACGCATTAGCTCAATGCTAATAGCACTTACAGTGATTCTGACTGATTGTGAAGAAACTTCAGAGTGTTACCGTTCAATAAAGACTAAAACCATACATGTACTCCCAATGGTTCAATAAGAGCTGTCAGTTTACTTTGGGTACGCGGTGGATAGGCGTTTTAGGCAAATTTTACAGGAGTGGTATCATCAATCTACTATAAAGATTTAACTTTTTATTTTATTAAAAAGAAGAGAAACAAATGAAATCTCACATTGACGTAAGTACAAACCCTTAACACCGTTTAGCTCAGGTGCCTTCCATCTCTCCTGATCACCGTTGACGTGTTTCTCCACTTTGATTTAAGGTGGAGCTCATTTTAACTCCTTTAGACACTGTTCACAAAGATTGTAATGTGCAAAGTAACTAAAGCTGCCAGACAAAGTGGTGACAGTAGTGGAGTAAAAAGTACAATATTTCCCTCTGAGATGTAGTGGAGTGGACGTACAAAGTTGAATAAAATAGAAATGCTCAAGTAAAATACCTTGAATTTGTACTTAAGTACACACACTTAGTTACATTCCACCACTGATAACAATCACTCTTACCACTCACAGCTTATCAAAACCATACAATTTACTGCTTTTTATAAAGAGGTGGAATAACATTGATCAGGATTGGGTTCAGTCTGTTGGTCCGGCCCTCCACAATAGTCCCTGTTTCTCATGTGGCCCCTCGGGGAAAATAATTGCCCCCCCCCCCCCTGATGTTAAAGGCACTGATCTTGGGAAGGCTACACACATTGTGTTGCATTGAAGGTTCCTAAGAGCACAATTGCCTCAATATTTCTGAAATGGATGGAGTTTTGAACAACCAGCACCATCCAATCTGACCATTGGGGGAGAAGGGTCTTGGTAAGAGAGGTGATCAAGAACCTGATGATCCCTGGCTGAGCTGCAGAGATCTTTGTGGAGATGGGAGACATTTCCAGAAGGACAACAATCACTGCGACCCTCCATTGATCTGGGCTTTATGGTCAGACAGAGCCTCTCCTCAGTGAAAGACACGTGAAAGCACCTACAGGACTCTTGGACTGTGATAGTCCCTGGTCTGATGAAATCAATATTGAACAGTTTGGCCTTAATTCTAAGCATCAAGAAACCAGGCACCACTCATCAGCTGCACAACACCATCCTAACAGTGAAGCATGGTGGTAGCATCATGCTGTGGGGGGTGGTGTTCTGTGGCCCCTCCACAGGAAAGCTGAATAGTGCAAAGTATAGAGATATCCCTAATTAAAACCTGGTCCAAAGATTAGTCGTGTGCAGAAACAGGTGTACACTCGTAAGCAATCGCATGATTCTTCTGTGGGAGATAATAAAAATAGCCACATTGGCTATGGACTGTACTTGTCTAGTTCTTTTCTGGTCTTCCGACCACTCACAGCACTTTAACACTACATGTCATCATTCACCCATTCACACACTGATGACAGGGCTACCATGCAAGGTACCACCTGCCCATCAGGACTCTATCCAACATTCACACACCGTATGCTACGTAGCTATGGGAGCAATTTGGGGTTAGGTGTCTTGCCCAAGACATTAGCCAGAAAATGGAAATTCATCACGATCAACTCATAATCATAATCAGAACTGTTTATTGTGAAGAACATTACACATTCAAGGAATTTGACTTGGTGAATGGTGCATAATAATAAACAATGAACACAGTGCAATAATCAGGACATAATCTAAAAATAGAAACATTAAACTTTACAATAAAATATGGTACACAAACAAACAGATAACAGTACTTTAAAACAAGTATATTGTAAAAGTGGCAATTGTATTTAAGTATAGAAACATAGAAAGGATGTGCAAGGGAGTGTAACGGTAGCAAATTGTCCTGGGGATGACAGAGTCAGTGGGGGTCCCGGGCTCTGTTAATGAGCCCGACTGCAGAAGGGAAGAAGCTGTTCGTGTGGCGTGAGGTCTTGGTCCTGATGGACCGCAGCCTCCTGCCAGATGGAAGGGGCTCGAACAGTTCATGTCCAGGGTGAGAGGGGTCGGCTACAATCCTTCTTGCTCGCTTCAGGGTCCGGGAAGCGAACAAGTCCTGGAGGGACGGCAGATTGCAGCCAATCACCCTCTCAGCAGAGCGAATGATGCGTTGCAGCCTGCCCTTGTCCTTGGCAGTGGCTGCTCTGACGTCTCTCCAGGATAGAGAGTGTCGTCAATATGATATAGCCATAAAATATGATAAAAGCTTGGATATGCAGTGAGTGCTGCATACATGTAACTAGCTTATACTGAGGAGGGATCCCTCTCCCAGGATGGCCAGAAGAGGATGTCATGTGTACTGAATGAACAACATAATAAAAACATAATAGCAGAAATAATACTAGAACAAAATTGTAGTAGCAGCAGTAGTAGTAGTCCAGCAGCAATGGATATAGTATTATAATAATGATAATGAAAGCAGTATTAGTAGCAATTATAGAATAGAAATATGACTAATAATAATAATAATAATAATAGCAGTAGGTGTCAACAGGGCCACAGCAGCTGGCCCGACCAGGGTCCAGATATACAATGCCTATAATAAGTATTCACCCCCCTTGGATGTTTCATCCTTTTGTTGCTTTTATACATGAAATCATGGTCAATATAATTTGGCTTTTTTGACAAGAATTCGCAAAAGAAACCTTTAATATCAAAGTGAAAACAGATTTTTACAAAATAATGTCAATCAATTAAAATATATAAGGTAAAGATTGCATAAGTATTCACCCCCTTCAGGTCAGTATTTAGTAAATGCACCTTTGGCTGCAATCACAGCACTGAGTGTGTGTGTGTGGATGTGTCTCACTCAGGCTGGCACATCTGGACACTAAGATTTTTCTCCATTCTTCTTCAAATCAGCTCAAGCTCTGTCTGGTTGCTCAGGGATCGGGCGTGAACAGCTCTTCTCAAGTCCAGCCACAGATTCTGGATTGGATTGAGGTCTGGGCTTTGACTTGGCCACTCCAGAACATTCACCTTGTTGTCTTTGAACCATTCTGTGGAGCTTTTGCTGTATGCTTGGGGGGGGTCGTTGTCTTGCTGGAGAATAAATCTTCTCCCAAGTCGTAGTTCTCTTGCAGACTGAGTCAGATTATCCTCCAGGATTTGTGGATATTTTTCTGCATTCATGTCCCCCTCTACCTTTACAAGCCTTCCAGGGCCTGCTACTGAGAAGCATCCCCAGAACACGATGCTGCCATCACCATGCTTCACGGTGGAGATGGTGTGTTTGTGGTGATGTGCAGTGTTTGGTGTTCACCAAACATAGCGTCTAGTCTGATGGCCAAAAAGCTAAATTTTTGTCTCATCAGACCAAAGAACCTTCTTCCAGTTGACCTTGGAGTCTCCCACATGCCTTTGGGTGAATTCTTTCTACAGTGTCTTTCTCTTTGCCACTCTCCCATACAGCTTCGACTGGTGAAGAACCCGGGCAACAGTTGCTGTATGTACAGTCTCTCCCATCTGAGTCACTGAAGCTTTGAACTCCTTCAGAGTGGTTTTAGGTGTCTTGGTGGCCTCCCTCATCAGTCCTCTTCTTGCCCGGTCACTCAGTTTGTGAGGACGGCCAGGTCTAGGAGATTTAAACAAGTGCCATACTCCTTCCATGTCTTAATGATGGACTGAACTGAACTCTGTGGGATGTCCAGTGAGTTGGAAATCTTTTTGTAGCCATCTCCTGACTTGTACTTTTCAATGATCTTTTCTCTGAGTTGCTTGGAGTGTTCTTTCATCTTCATGTTGACACAGGTTATGATGGTGACACATGTGTGTTTATACTACAATCACTTGACACACATCAACTGCGCTCAGGTCATCTCCATTTCACTACTTGTGACACTGCTGGCATCAACTAGCTGGACTTCTGTTGAATTAGGTCAGTCACTTTAAAGGGGCTGAATACTTATGCAAATACTTATTTTACACTATATATTTTTAATTAATTGACAGTTTGTAAAAATCTGTTTTCACTTTGACGTGAAAGAAGCTTTTTTTGCAAATTCTTGTCAAAAAAGCCAAATTATACTGACCATGATTTCATGTATAAAAGCAACAAAAGGATGAAACCTCCAAGGGGGGTGAATACTTTTTATAGGCACTGTAACCACGATTTATTTAAACCTGTGAGGAGAGAAAGCACAAAGAATCTGAGGAAGAAGCAAAGTTAGTAATGTGCATTAATGGGACATGAATTCATACAGAAGGAGAGAGAGAAGAGGAGAGAGGAGCTCAGTGTATCAGGAAGTCCGCCTGAATTTTGGAATGTCATGTCGGTAAAAAGACAGTCCTTGAAGTATGTTTTATGTGGGAGATGAAAAACCTCGAGCAAATTAGTGCAAAGCAATTCCACTCATCACCCCCCACCCCCTTCTCTTGTATGCAAATCATATCACTTTTTATGGTTGATTTTTATCTCAATATATTATAAAATAATAAACAATATATCCACCACTTGAATCGTTGTTTTAGGTATGTTTATGTCATGAGGATGCTGATGTACGTTTACAGCATGTGGACACACCCAGTGTGTGTCTAAGAGCTTGAGGAAGCCGAAGCTGAAACACTGCTGCTACACACTCACTCAGTCAGTGCTCAGCAACAGAGCAGCAGTGTGTTCTTGCTCCCAGCCATCCCACCCTCATCCTCAGAGCCTAACATAGCAGCAGCAGCAGCAGACATGGTACTCCACCACAAAGAGTTCACCAATGCAGGCAAGACAGCTGGCCTGCAGATTTGGAGGATTGAGAATCTGGAGCTGGTCCCTGTACCAGAGAACTTGTGTGGGAATTTTTACACTGGAGATGCTTATGTGATTCTCTACACTGTCAACCAGAAGACCAGCTTTTTCTACCACTTGCACTACTGGCTGGGTAAGAGAATAAAGCCCTGGCCCTTCATAATTGGGTAAAATTCATTATTTTCCACTCATGCAAAAATAGGAAAATGAGTGAATGTTAATTGGATTTAATAACACTTAGTCATAAGGCAGTCATGAGAGAGAAATGGTGTAGAAAATGTCCTCCTGGGTGAGATATATATCACATCTCACTCTAAAGAAACACTCTGCAGCTTCCTCAGGCACGTAGTGAGGAAAGCAATAAAGATGTATTATCTGCATGGTCAGGCTCGGGTCAAACTTCAGTTAAAATATTGGTTTAATGAATTAAAAATTAAAGAGACACTGCGTACTCAAATGAGTTTGTTGAGCTGTAAACTAAATGGTATGACTGTACTGTGAAGACACACGTTCACATTTCTTACCAAATTTAGAAAAAATCTGCATTTTATGGTTTAAAAAGGCTCAACAGGTTTTAAATCAGCCCTTGCATGGCCGATGCTGACGTAGAGTTGGAGTCAGAGGTAGAAGGCCTAACCCAATGCTAGCATTGCCCCTGAAACATATTGCAAAATTTTTCTTAATGATGCAGTGGGTGTAGTTACACTTGAACAGGTCAACTTTTCCAGTTTGACTGCTCACTCAGCCAGTGAGTCTTGGCATGCAGTGACATAACAACAGAGTATCCTACAATGTGTTTTAAGTGTTTTCCACATAGAAACATGAAGGCACTGACTGTCTGTGTTACAGGTGCAGACCCAGTGCACTGTGTCACTGTCAGCCGTCAATAGCGCCAACGTTTTATTGACGTGTTTTAAACTGGTGTTTCTTCAACCGCAAAAGAATTCACTTGTTGTAGTAGAAGATTAACTTTAAAATCAACAATTGGTATATTTTTCTAATTTCTTCCTCTCCCCTTTAATTTGTGTAATAAGTGAATCATTGGTATGCCCCTTTATTGGACCATAAACTAATATTTCTTTTAATAAAATCTACCCAGGAAACTTCTGGTATAGAAGGATATGGAAATTCAACAATTCTCTTCTAAATGATAATTAATTCAATGACACCAATAAAACACGAGCAAAATAACTCCTCAATGGGTTAAAACATGATTAGGCTAAATTCTAGTTCTTTAAATATAAGGAACAAGAAACTGACTTGATGCACAAACTTGACCTTTTAGTAACAAAAGAAAATTTGTCTTTGGAAGAAGAACTCAAATTAAAGGACATCCAGCCACAACTACATCAAATGTATTTAGGTCTGGCAAAAGAAGCATTCATTAGGTCAAGAGCCAAATCTCGAGGAAAGGGAAAAGAGCACTAATTATTGTTTTGCTCTCGAGAAGGAAAAGGAGGTTTAAAAGGTAATCATTAACTGCTGTCGATATTTGATAGGGCGTTAAAAATGTCCCAACTGTTAGAGGATATGACGCTTACTCTTTGGTTTAAGATTGATGATTCCGTAATTGGAAATACAATAAAAGGTCTTTGGAGACCTTTGGAGGTCTTTCTTTTCTTTTCATTCGACAAAGCGGGTACATTAACCAGCAGGGAGCTAATGCTGACTGTTCACAAGTGAGTGAAGTAGCATACAAGCAGCATGCGCAATACTGGGAGAAACAGACAAAAGGGGCCAGAGCGAAACAACGACAAGGTGTTAACAATAAGGGACAGAAATGTTCCAGATGTGGCAGGGTGCATGCTAAAGAGGACAAATGTGCCGCATGCGATGCAGAATGCCATAAGTGTAAAAAGCGGGGACATTTTGCAGCGATATGCCATTCCCGCGTGGTCATTAAGGTCAATACACCCTACGAGGGAGGAGACAGGAGACATGTTCATTTCCTGGGAGAAAATACAGACGTGGATGACTCAAACAACGAATGGACGGTAAAACTGCCTGTGCAAGATATTTAAATAGACTGAAACGACTGAAAACTGATGCAACCAAATTAGGCAGTCCAGGTTGAGTGAACTGTAATGGTTACAGCTACTACTGAGTGGAAAAAGCAAATGTTCAGGTTTAAAGTAAATGTGATAAAGGGGCCACATGGCAGCAACCTGAGCCGTAATGTAGCAATCGCTATGGGCTTAGTCAAAGCAAATGGAAGAGATCAAAAGCACAGAGCAGTTGAGTGAGGCCAGCCCAGCAGCTATAGGCAGGCTGAAGATAAAGCCAATCAAAATCAGACTGCAGGAGGACGCTGTACCTACAGTGTGACTACTGCAAGGCGTGTGTCGGTGCCTATGCTCACTAAAGTAAAAAAAGAACTGGACCGCATGGTAGCCAGTGGCGGGATAGAGCCAATCAAGGAGCCCACGGTGTGGTGTGCTCCGATGGCTGCTGGACCCAAGAAGAACAAAGACCAGCCAAGGATATGCGTTGATCTAAAACGGCTGAATAAAGAGAAAGAGAGGGAAGTTTATTCTGCCCACCATAGATGACATCCTACCTAAACTCACAGGCGCAAAAGTGTTTTCCCTTTTGGACGCAGCAAGTGGTTTCTGGCAGATACCACCAGACAGAGAGAGTGACAAACTCACCACCTTCATAACTCCCTTTGGAAGGTATTTCTTTAATAGACTGCCATTTGGAATCAGAAGTGCACCAGAAATCTTTCAACGTGAAATGACTGCGCTCTTGAAAGAACAAGAAGGCCTGGTGATTGACATGGACAACATCCTTATTTATTCAGACTCTGAAGAAGTCCATGAGGTGAGGCTACACATTGGAGAAAGCTGGTTTAAAGATGCCATGACAAATATATCCTGTGTCAGTGATGACTCAACTACCTTGGACACTGCATTGATGAGAATGGCATTCGGCCAAATGAGGCTAAGGTCAAGGCCGTCACTCAGCTTGAGCCACCAAACAATGTCACTGATCTGAGAAGGATCCTGGGGATGATACACTATTTAGGCAGGTACCTGCCAAACCTGTCTGAGGTCACCAAACCCCTCAACTACTCAAAAACGACATGACATGGGCATGGAGGGCAGTGCACGAGGATGCCTTTAAGAAGGTAAAACAACTCATCACAGTCACCTGTACTAGCATTCTACGATGTGAGTAAGTCTACCATTATCAGTGCAGATGCTAGTAGTTATGGCTTAGGTGGAGCTCTGCTTCAGAAACATGATGAACAGTAGTGTTTTGTTCCAGAACACTCACTGATGCTGAGCAGTGCAAGTGTCTCGCTGCAGTGTGGGCCTGTGAGAAGTTTTCCAGGTACCTCTATGGACTAGACTCCTTTACTCTACAGAGTGATCACAAGCCGCTTATTCCCTTGATAAACTGTAAAGATCTGGACTCAGTGCCTATGAGGTGTTACAACCCTACAGCTGTGTATGTGCCGGGGAAACAACTTATCATAGTGGATACACTGTCTAGACATCCCCAGGCTACTGCCACACAGGAAATCGCAGAGCTGACCAGTGAAATAGAAGCCTATGAGAAAGCAATCCACGAGTCATGGCCCATTTCACCCACCAAGCTCAACATGGTCAAACAACAGACCCTACAGGATGCAGAACTGCAGATGGTTCAATGCTACGTGATGTCGGGATGCTGTTAAGGTGCCTGACAAGGTAAAAGCCTATTACACTTCCAGACATCACCTCTCAGTTTCAGAAGGACTGGTGTCGTATAATGGTAGAATGATAGAATAGTGCCACGGATGATGAGGTCTGAGATATTACAGCGCATACATGATGAGCATCAAGACATAGTGAAGTGCCGGGAGCTGGCTAGGTGTAGTGTGTGGTGGCCTGGAGTAAGCAAGCACATCCAGGACACTGTCAGCACATGTAAGGACTGTCAGGAGTCCAAGCCGACGCAGAAAAGAGAACCTCTGATCACTACCCAGTTATGGAGCCAAATCCAGGTCAAAAGTTTTGATCATTTGAAAAAGAATTTGAACCTGAAAGTTCAAGTTGTGGTCTTGAACATTGAAAAGTACAGCAATGTATTCAAAATAAAAATAAGTGAATGAAATTGTTTTTGGGTTGAATATAATGTTGATTCAGGTGTGGAATTTTTTTTTTAATTTTTCACTTTCATATATTTTTTTGATATTTGAGGTCTTATATTTTTTAGTTTCAGATTTTATATTTTCAGATTCAAATCTTATTTTGTTCTAACTGGCCGCGAGCGACCCAGCACTGCGTAGCTCAATGCAGATCTGTTGTTACACGCCCTGTTTCTATTTATTCCGGACGCTCGCTTTGAAAGCACTGCAATGGACAAGGAACAGCTGATTGGTTGCATTACAATGAGAGCGTACCTTAACGAAGCCTCCTCATTTCACCAGACAATTCAAGAGGTGGCAGGAGGGAGAATGCCATGGAGCTGCTTTGTTGACAGAGCTGGCCCTCAGCCCATGCTTTTAGTGCATGTCCGTGCATGCGAGCAGCCCCATGGTAAGCTCACAGCCGTTGAGAGCCAATCAAAATGCTCCCTATCTCAGATCTTTAGATGTGTCAGTCCACACTGAATCTGTGAGATGCCCCCCCCCCCCTTTTAGAGAAGCAGAATCTGCATTGAATGCTGTTCAAGTCCTTGCCTATGCCTATATAAGCAAAATATGGCTTTCAAATGCATACATTGTCCTCCTGATGAGTACACACATTATGCACACAGTACTGTAGAATGTAGAATGCGTTGCATCTGAGGTTTTGATCAGTGACCGTACTTCCTTCCTGAAACTCTCTCCATTTCCTCTGAGAGTAGAAAGTCAATACGACGAAGATGTTTTCTTGTTGTTGGCTTCTAACTGAGAACCCATCCACATTAATAATTTACTGTTATACATGCAAATGAACACCTCACACATCCTTCCTGTCACTGTGTGTAAAGATGAAGCACTTTTCATTCATCATGCATCATGTAAATGCAGAGCGACTGTGAGGAACGTGTTGCTGGCCCTGCTGTCAGACACTAACACTCATAGGCTGTATTCCAAGCATCAGTCAGAAAGGACGAGAGCCCAACAACCAATTTGACATCATACTGTTGTTCATGTATTGGTGCATTGTCACCGTGGACTATTTTTGTGTGATGAAACTTCAAATAAATAATGTAAATTTCACACAAAGAATAATTGAGTTTTTGAAATGATAAGTGTCTTTCAAGCTAAAATGAATCAGCCAAAACTAAATAATTGGTTTACAAATGTTGCATTTATGTATCTGTCACCTGTACACATCACATGCTTTTGTTTGAGGTATTTTGAGTTATTCATTTAAGCAAGATTGCTTTATCCACAGATATTTTCTTCTGTAGTTTTCTTTCACTTTCCATTGTGGACTGGAAGCAACACTTTCTGTGCTGATCAAAATTCTTAAAACAGACATGAGGGAGCAACAGGTGGACCATAGGGGTGATATTAAAAAAGATATTAAGAAAAACCTTGTGCAAAAGTAAGCATTTTGGCAAATGCTGCCATCATTAGCATGTAGCTGGTTAGTTTGACAGCTTCTCATTGTGCTGAAATGGCAGAACCAGTTTGTCAGTCTTTAAGGCAAGCCTCAAGTCCTTGAAGATAAATGCCAGGTTCCTGACTGTTAACCATGAAATGATATGCTGGCATTTGAGCATTTTCCTTCCCAAATTGTGACCCCCTTAAGACCTTAAACTGACATTCAAGAAGTGTTGAGATGTAAGGCCTGTCAGGTGTCGTCTTTATCTATTTCCTCCTGTTCCTTAATTTTCCCATTAACACTTGTCTGCTGGTTTTGCTTTCAGATTGCAAGACTAGATAAACCACAGACAACTTTAAGGAGCCTGTGCCTTGTTGCTGTCTTTGCAGCACAAACTTAGCTCCAAGTCTGACTTATCTTTTTGATAATTTGACAAAATATAGAGCTTCCAGGAAATTGAAATTCAAGAAAAATGACACAGAGCCATAGATATTTACCAAGGAAGTAATGGTAGCTAGGGCAGGTGTTGTAGTATAAAGCCACACTGTCTGCATAGATAGGAGGTGGTAGGGGATGGCTGGGTCTGAAAACACTGGACTTTCACCCTGTTTGTGTCCTGTGTAAATCCATGTAAATCAATCTTGACTTATTTGTTACATAACTCCGATGCTTAAAGCCACTTCTGTAGCTTTTTTATCAAAACCACAATCTTTTCCTAAACCTAAACAAGTGTTTTGCTAACACTGCAGGGGCTTACAGGCACACTGATAGCTCAATTCTGAGGAAATCACACCAAAAATAACATAAAAAAAAAAAAAAACATAAAAAAAAAAAATTCCAAGTACCCAAGTATTTGTGTTACAAATGGATGCATTTTTCATTGTCCTTCATTTGAGCCTGTGCTTGTTCTTTAAAGGAAAGGAGTGCAGCCAGGATGAGAGTGCCGCTGCAGCCATCTTTACGGTGCAACTGGACGACTACCTGGGCGGAAAGCCAGTCCAGTACCGAGAACTGCAGGGGGTCGAGACAACAGCCTTCGCCAGCTACTTCAAGGGAGGGATCACTTACAAAGTATGGATCATTTTCATTACTGGTCTGAAAATGCAATCAAGTGACTTGTGCTGGACATCTTGTACAGTTGTGACTTTACTCTGAAATATAGTAACTGTTATATTTGCTTATACTGGCCTTTTACTAACGAACACTTCAGTAGCAGCCCCTACATTTTCATATTTCTAATGTTCGGTAGATATTTTTGTCTGATGTTTGTGAGATTAATCATCCTCTAGAGATCACAGCATATTTCTTTTCACGCAGGTGCAGACTGTGCAGTTGGCTGTAGTCTTTCGATGTGTTCAAGTGCAACTTTTTGCCAGGAGATTAGATTTAAACTATTATTGACAATTTTTGTATATTGCTAGTTTGCTGCCTATCTGTCTGTCTGTCTGTGTATCTATCGGGGTACGTTGGTGTTGGTCGGTCTGCCATTTAGTCACTAATAGATAGATTGTCAAGAAATTCGATTCACTCATGAACACCGAGGATAAATCCTGATGACTTTGCTGATCACCTTACCTTAGCGGCGTGACCAGCGGCGTCATCAGACCTACGGAGCGGACGTCTGAAGTCACGGTTAGCGGCTTTAGGGAGGGTGATGGACACAAAACGGAGGACTTTCCTTTTCTTATTAATGCTTGTTTTGTTCTGCACAACTATTGTGAAGTCTGCAGATAAAATATAACGGAACAAAAGCAGTAATTGCTCTCCAGTAGGACAGAGACTTTAGTCACCAGCAGAGCTACGAGTGAGAACAGAGAACAACGGAACCAAGGAAACGAGTGAGAGACGTGTGTTGACCACATTTATGGACCATAATCTAGTAAACCTTTATGTGTAAGTGTTAATATTAAAATACATTTGATGTGAGAGAGAGAGATAGAGCAAGATTTAGAAAACGATGCTGAAACACCGTGTGGACGGAGTTTTAAAAGGAAAACGGAGTAGTGTGGACGTGGCCTTATCATCATGTCAATGTTTTCAATTATCCTGAGAAATATCTCAATATGTCATCTCTGCTCGATGGATTGGCATATCTGGTGCATATGCAAGCACTGTCTTATCACACTTTGGAATGATATAAGGTTCTTTTCAAGGAGGAGTAGAAGAATGAAAAAAACATCACCTGCTTACTTAGAACATAGTGGAATTCATTTAACAATAACACTAAACATTCAGTTCTTTACTTGTGTTCCCCTTATTGGGAATATCAGTGTCTTATACTTGCCCCTTCAACCAACTCAGGTTGAGGGGAAAATAAACCACAAACAAAATCTATATCTCTGAGAAAATAAACCAAATCAAATAAAACCAATGTTCATGTAACTTTCCTGTTAAACAGAGTGTGGTGGGATCACAGCGTTCATCTGCACTATGTGATGATGGTGAATCAGTCTGTTGTATGTCCATTGGAGATTTACCCAATGAAATCTCACAAATCATCGGGTACAAAATAAAACAACCTGCATAAGCACAGCATCCTTTGATTGTTCTCTTTTCAATGAAAATATTTCCAGGTCCGGAACTAATATTCAAAAGTCCAAATTAATAAATTGACAGTTCCTGCAAGCATTCACTGGAGAATGGAATACACAAATCATAAAATACTTGATCGAACTTTGGCACAGCCTATCGAGCTGCTAGCGTGGCTGCACTCTTGTTTTAATTCTGTTGTCTTTGGTTAATGGAGAGTTGTAGAATGTCATCATTCTAGTACTGCACTGTACTTCCACTGTACCCTAAGTACTACTCAAGGGGTGTTGCAATCTGACAAGTGAAACCGGGAAGAAAAACACTTGAATTTGTTTTACAAGTATAATTACGTTGTTATTTTAAGGAAAAATGTTTAAATATTAGCTAAGACATTAAATATTGTCTTAGCTATCTTGAGCTCAATGGTAAGAGAATATTGACAGTATATATTGACCCATAAACCTGTTTGCAGGATTATACTTGGCTCCAGGGAACAGTGACTAATGGGACAGAAGAATAAGTAAGTCTAAAGTAAACAGAGAAATGGAAGAAGGTTGACAGAGTTCTCTGCCCCACAGACAGGAGGCGTGGCCTCAGGTTTCCACCATGTGGTCACCAATGACCTTTCAGCAAAGAGACTCCTACACATAAAGGGCAGACGCGTGGTCAGGGCCACCCAGGTCCCTCTCACCTGGACCAGCTTCAACAGTGGAGACTGCTTCATCGTTGACCTCGGAGATGTAAGTACACAGGATTTTCTTGCTGTATGTTTGCAGTTGAAAGGTGAAGCAAACTGGAGAGACAAGTTTGTATGTTGACAGTGGTTCCCTGTCTGTCTGTGTGTTCACCAATCTGCAGAAGATCTATCAGTGGTGTGGATCCAAGTGTAACAAGTTTGAGCGACTGAAGGCGGCACAAGTGGCCAGAGGTATCCGTGATAACGAAAGAAATGCCCGTGCCGAGCTGGTGGTTGTAGAAGAGGGAAGTGAACGGTTCGAGTTAACTAATGTGAGTCTCAGCTTTTTTTGTCATTTTTTTTGTCATAAATTTCTCTTCTTTTTCACAGACATGTCTCATGATATGTCTGTCGGAAAAGGAAAAACTATTTATTCCATAATCATAACAAATAGTAAATGATATTGGGTGTGAACTGTATAAAACATAGGTATAGTCCCCTATGACGTCACCCATGGGTTTCTGAAGAGCCAAAATGAGGCTCAAAGTGGCCGGCTCCGGCCGTCGTCATCTTGGCAGTGACGACACAGCCTGACCCCTGGCTAATCCATGAACAGGCAAAGAATAGGAGCGTGGATGAAGCTGAGTTGGGCTGAATAAAGCCCGGTTGCTGAAACACGCCCAACTAGGTTGAAGCTACCAAGCTAGCTAAGGCTAACAAGCTAGGCTGTTGCTGACCGGCTAATCTTATCGCTGTGGTCTTGTTGCTCCCAGTATTCAAATAAAACAATTGTAACAAGACTCCTTCAATTTGTGCATTAGGGTTAATGTTATTCTCCATAAAGCAAACACCTCCTTTTTTCTTGCCGAAATGGTAAATGGAGGTACTTGTTATTTTCTAGTCTTTCCGACCACTCAAAGCTTTAACACTACATGTCATCATTCACCCATTCATACACTGATGACAGGGGCTCCCATGCAAGGTACCACCTGCTCATCAGTACAAACTAACATTCATACACCATAGGCACAGCTATAGGAGCAATCTGGGGTTAAGAGTCTTTCCCAAGGACACATCGACATGGACTAGCGGAGCCGGGGATCGTACCGCCGATTCTCTGATTGAAGGACGACCCGCTCTAATACTGAGCCACAGTCCCCGAAGCCCTCTGTTCTGTCAGATCGCAATAAAGTAAAAGAGTAGTGTTTAAACGGCATTCCGGTATTAGCCAAGTTTCATGGACACTACAGCTCCTGATATCTCAGTGAAAACTGATGCCGGTGGTATGGAGGTCACCCAGGAGCAGCTCCATCATCCAGCACATTGGCCAGCAGGATGTTTGCACAGCAAACCTTATTTGTATGACATTTGCATGAAAGATTCTCCAAAACACAAACACGTTAAGTTTAGTGACTTGATTTAGCCGAGCTAGCAGACAGCTAGTGGCTGTGACGGCAGCCACCTGTCCCTTAAAGCAGCCATGCCCTTAATTATGCATAACTTTAAGCCTCATTAGAATTTAAACAGGTGAGTTATTATATAAATTCAACCCCTGTACAGTTGTCATGGACAGGGATATTAGCTATAGAGACCAAGGCCCAATCCCAATGTCCCCCCTTACGGACTCACAGACTTTGAGGCGCGCTCCCGCAAAGTCCGTGAGGGTTTAATTCTGTCCCACTGTCAGATCATCGACTGTTTGAGTCTCTCGCAGACATTTCAGCCCTTTATGAACCCTTTCCGTAAGTCAGCATAGGATGCTAACTTAGCCTAAGGGAATTACCCACAAATCATTGCAATGCGACGTTAAACACGGGGTAACCAGTGGACGCATGGAGACGTAAACAAAAAGGTAAACAAAGAGGACGGCTCACATGTGTTCAGCCTGGAATATTAAATGTACTCAGAAACATTAAGGGTTAAAGATGGAAGATAAAAACACATGAAATCAGAAGATATTTATTAATTTATTCATCAAACATTTGATTTTGTCATTGAAGCTGTTTTGACAAAAACGAGTAAATAGATTATATGAATGACCTCATCTTGTGAGGAAAGAGCCTGAAGACATTCAAACCAGGGAGTACAAAGTATAAAATATATACACACAATTATACATCATATTTCTTGTCGTTTTCATGGTAACGTGATATGTTGCAGCAAAGTGCTGTCCCATTCATATATTAACACCATCTAAAGCCCTCACACTCAACCACTCACCAGGTGAAGTCAGTAAGTCCTTGAGGGTTCGGGGTTTGAGGGTTTAGGGGTGACACTGGGACTGGGCCCAAAATCATGCAAAGTTGGGCTTTTTAACATGGAGGTCTATGGAGATTCACTCCCTTTTAGAGCCTGCCTCAAGTGGCCAATCGATGAGCTGCATTTTTTTACCCTTCCGCATTGGCTTCATTTTTCAGCCTCAGAGATTGGGCCGCTTTTGATACAGCTGCTGTATGTAAAACTCTGAATGCGGTTGTCCCTTCTCCACAGATCCATTTACGTTGCAAGGAAAGGTGAAACTAAAACAAGACATCTAAAAAGCATATTCAACACTGCTTGTTTTTAACACATACAGATATACACAATACAAATATACCAACTCAACCTTTAGTATGAATTAAATCCTATTCGTTTTACTGTTACATCTTTCATGTATTTATTGTATATTTTACCTCAAATATATTATGTGGCATGGTATCTTAACTTGTTCATCTGTTTATTGTAATTATTGTTATATGAAGTTCCAATGGCCTAGGAACAGTGTAGTCATTAGCAATAGTAACTTAGTCAATTTTAGGTTCACAGAATGTAACATCTGAAAAAATAATCATCTGCAATAGATAACAATAAACAATGCATACCCACGATGCTACCAAAAGGCATAAGATGTATGCAGATATCGCTGGATTAACTCAGATATACTAAAACAGCAGCTCTCAGAGCTTAATTACTTCCTGAATAGTGGTCACACATAACTCACCGTTACTTACATCATGTGATTCTTAAAGTTACCACAACGAACTACAGAAACACTTAAAAATACTTCATATTTACTTGGTTCTAACGACACAGAGGTTGCCGCTTGGTGTGAACTCAAGGCCAATTTTGTCACGATCAGGCTTTTCCTTGTGTGTTCTGTGTTTCTTTCTGTAGCTCCTCACTTTACCTGTCAGCCACTCCCTCAGCACCAGTCTAAGTCCCTTCACCTGCCCCAGATCACTAATCAAGCACTCCCTCATCAGCACAACTCCCCTCACCTGTTCTAGCCACTATTTAAACACCTGCCTCCCAGTCATCCACTGCCAGGCCATTGTTTGTGTTCACCTACCCACCCATTTTTGCTCATCCGGTTTCCCAGTCTGCCTGCCCTGCCTCGTCCTGCCGGATTTCCCCCCTCGTCTCTTGTCTCGTCCTTGGATTCCCTGTTGTGTTCGTTATTCATTAAAACCCTTTTCTCACTACATCTGACTGTCTGCACTTGAGTCCTCATCATGCCCTGTGACAAACTTACTAACTTGTTAAGGAAATAATGTTAAATCAAGGTTCACATGTTAGCTTTTGCAAACTCCATTCACTGACCATAAGATAGACTTATTTGTGTTTTTTCTGAAAGTGTGATGTTTAGACTGTTCATGCCTGTGAGTACAGAGCTGTAGTCAGGATGATGTTAGCCTAGCTTAGCATTAAGACTGAAGGCAGAGGGAAATAACTAGCCTGCTCTGTCCAAACCTCTAAAGCTCACTGATAACATGTCCACAGAAATGTAAAACAGCATAACAATTTGTGGTTCTATTTTTTGACAAACAATAGTGTGTCCTCCTTCCAGGAATTCTGTGCAGTGTCTCAAGCTAATTGCCAGATTTCACCAGTGAGCACATGATTTGGTCTCTGTACACTACAGAGTACAGAGACTATGGTACCAAACCTGGCATCCTCACTCTCACACAGCACACACTGCACCTGGCTGTTTATTGCTCAAGACATTTCTGTGTGTGTATGGACTAAAACAAAAAAGCTACAGTGGGTTCATCGGTGAGTATTAGAGGTGTTGGTAGGTGTAGATTTCTACTTTGGACAGAGAAAGGAAGGCTGTTTCTTCCCACTTCCAGACTTTATGCTAAACTAGGCTAACCAAATCCTGACTAAATCTTTGTATGTAAGAGACATTGGAGTGGTAGCTGTGGTGGAAATTATTCTTATTTATTTCCCTGTGAGAAATAAACGTGATGATAAAGCTCTCAAAAGTCTTTAAGTATTTCATTGAACAGACACTTAGAATATTCAGCTGATTGGATAGAGCTCTTTCCCTACTGATGGTCCGGAGGTCTAACCACAAGTCAAAGTTGTATATGCTTCACACAAACTGCACATTATTTTGATATCACGTCATCACTTGTCACTGAGCTTCCCCATCCGTACATCCTGTCTGATCGGTACTGCGTATGTGGAACTTTCTGCAGAGATGGGAAAGAAGCGCGGTGGCTCACTCATTAGCTAATTCCATCATCAGCTCCAGAAAAACGTTTTACTGCTTAAATAATGTATGATGGAAGTAGCAGTAACGACCGAGTCATCATTCTTGCTGGTATCGGGAAGAAAGAAATTGTATAAAAAATGATGTACTTGTCATATCATTTTTTCACACTAACAGGTCCTTGGAGTCAAGCCAGACCTATCAGAGGGAGATGGTGATGATGATACAGAGGCAGACGTGTTCAACAGGAAAATAGCCAAACTATACATGGTACAGTATTCACTCATACAAAACACCAGAAGTTCAATTCAACTCCTGTCTTACTAAAGATCAAACAGACACAAGAGAATCTGAACATTAATTGAACACAGAACATTTTTGGAAGGATTGGCTGGTTGGCTGATTTAGCAGGAAGTGATAAGAACATAAATACCCAACTTACCGGTATACTTGTCATGGAATATTCTGGATTCTTTTAATCACATCAGATGAGACACTGAGAAATCTTATCTCATGCAGTTTATCAAGTGGGGTGCTGCTCTGTGACAGGGATATACATTATTTTCAGTTATCTAAATCTGCATAATTTCATACAATAAAGAGTTTTGTTGAAAATAGGACTTGGCAGCAGCCTGGGTTGGATTCAAACCTTCGACCCTCTGCTGCACGTCAACCTCATCTCTCTCCCCCATGTTCTATAATTCTCCAGCTGGTCTAATACAGGCAATAAATATTATTATTCTTATATCGTTAAGAAAAAGGGAAAAGGTCTCTCTGCTAACAAGGTTATTATATCTTTTGAATAAACTGTCAGTGAGAAAGCTCGTTAGATTGGTCGCTAACAGGACTATTAGTTCTCACAGTTTATTCAAAAGATATATTTGTACCATTGACTGTTGTCTCATAGTTCAATCCATTCCTTTTTGTGGAGCTCTGGATGGTGAAACATCTAAACAGCTACGATAACCTTCACAAAAGTTAAACTTGCCACAAAAACTTGAACAGATTTACTTCCACCATTGAAGTCGATTCATTGGAATTAAATGATTTTGCAGCAAAATGGTGCCGTTTAAATGCTGGTGTGACCAGGCCTAGAGGCATAATCATTCTTAAAGCTACAACAGGGAGCTTTCCTTTTGTGTTCCTTTTGGATGAAAGTCCCATTTCTGTCTCACAATCTGTGGGTTTCTTCAATGAGTTAGATACCTGAAATAAGGTCTGTGGTTAAAACAAGTTAAGAGATTGTAACGTTTTTGTCCATAACATAAAATACGTCAGTAAATTCTCTTGTGAATTTTGAATCTAAACTTCATCACACTGATGTGGAGGCTTGAATTCTACCCCACAGAGAGAAGGCCGCTGATTTCCGCCCACTGCTGTTCTACAGTAGAGTCGCTGTGATAATAAAATCTGCCCTAAACTGGTCTACAATAAAAAAGTATTTAAACCTACTGAATCTAATACAAATACAGAGTGAAACACATTCATTACAGTATCTATAGATATATATTCTCTGCGCAGAGAGGCATTTTACCCTGATCCCAGTAGAAGCGCTGCTGCCCTCCCGGTGAGACCAGAGGAAAGAGAGTGATTCTCTGGCCGACACTTCCTGGTCCCAGTTTGAAAACCCCTCCCATACTGTCTATCTTAATTCCTATTGGCTAACTCCAGCAGAACCCTTCTGGCCTCAGTCTGCTAGGACCCTCGCACAGGTGTGATCTGTAAATGCCTGTCTAGAAATCTCGCTTTCCCTATTCTTCATACATTCAATGACTGTCTTTTATGGCTTAACACTTCTATGATAAACATTTTATATAAAGATAAGGATTTGCAACTTTTGGCAAAAACTTCACAAGTTTCACAAGCATAGATATAAAGGTGCTACAAATTCTACTAAGATACAATTCTAACTACAAATCACTTCTAACTACAAATTCTAAAACACTTCTACAATTATGAATCTTCTAATTATGTATTCCAAAACACTTCTAATTATGATTTCTTAATTATGAATCATTAAACACTTCTATTATCATTTCTTAAAACACAGTTCTAAACCCAAATTCCCTACACTGACTAGTCCGATAGTTCGATCCTGTAGTAGTTTAATTATAGCCTAATGTAGCCTAATGTTAGCTTTTTACTTCTGCCGATTGCATTTAAGCTCCAAAAATTATAAGTGGTGTTATTTTATGAAGATTATCTTGCTCAACAAAAAGTGTAAGTATCATATACTTGTGTTTGTCACAGACCTTATTTTCTGCTGTAATTCAAAAGCCAATGGAAAAATCACATTGTCTTTTTGTCGAGGGAACCCGTGTGATGGTAACTTCCGAAGTTGTCCTAAAAAATATGTCATGCCTGCAGCACTCTAAAGTTTACATTCTCTCTTTGTAATATGGGCTATAGGTGATGTATGTGTTTGTGTGTTACCAGGTTTCTGATGCGTCAGGGTCCATGAAAGTGACTGTTGTCAAGGAGGAAAACCCATTCCTCCAGAGTGACCTGCTCTCAGACGAATGCTTCATTCTGGATCATGGCAGAAACAAGATCATATTTGTATGGAAAGGTAATCAGACAGTGTTTTAGCGTCTGCTTTGAATGGTGTATTGTCTTTGTGACTGTGCATAAGGATTTCAACATCAATCGCATCTCATTTATCTCCTACAGGGCACAAGGCTAACCCCAGTGAAAGAAAGGAAGCCATGAAAACAGCTGAGGGCTTCATCAAACAGATGGGCTACCCTGCAAACACACAGGTTTACTTTCATTTTCACTTTTCTATTGTATATTTTTAATTTGAAAGAAATGCTTTATTACAGCTTCTGGGGATTAAACCTGAAAAGTGTTTTCAATATGTTTGATGATGTTGATTATCATTTAATTCTTTCAGTGAGCAAAAATACTTGACTCTAACAAAAGCTGCTGTGAAAGTTATGTAATAATTGAGTGTTGCAACTGATAATCCTGCAGATCCAGGTGCTGCCAGAGGAAGGAGAGACTTCCATGTTCAAGCAGTTCTTTCTGGGCTGGAAGGACAGGGACCAGAGTGAGGGTTTTGGGAAGGTATTTGTCACAGAGAGAATTGCGAGGATACAGCAGGGGGAGTTTGATGCTTCCAAACTCCATGAGTCCCATCACATGGCCGCCCAGTACAACATGGTGGATGATGGGAGTGGACACACACAGGTGACTAAATATACAAGAAGTTAACTTTTAAAACCACGCCATGGTGCAATGTTGAAGAAAGAGCTGAGAAGCCTTGTCTTCCAGTAATGAATTGCTGAAGTCTCTTTGGGGCACAAAGCATGCATTTCCCTCGACCTCTTTCATCAAACTAGTTGTCCATTACGGGGTTAAAAAAAACACGTTACTGGGATACCAAGAGGGGAGAACTGGGATGAGCAAATGCTGAGCCATTGGAGATTGTTGACACAGGTTAAAACAGAGGTTACCTAGATGAGAGTCCAAACACCATCATGCCTATATCACAAAGTAATACAATGATAGGGAATATACTTAAACCACAATATGGCCAGATCATGTACAATATATTGATCTGGTGTTGCGGTGATGAAATCAATGGGAGAAATCTGAAACTGAACTCTAATACAAAACAGTTTTTGGTGTAAATTTAGTTTTTGGAGTTGGTGGAGACCAAAGCAGCTAAAAGGAGATTAGAAATACATGAATTAATCAGATGGATACAAACATGACTCCAATGGCATGAAAATGTTGCTCTTTGCCTTCTTGATGTTGGCTGATGTCAGACAGAATTGTGAACAAGTTGAACTCTGTTTCCATCTTCAGTCTGATATTGCCTTCATTAATCATCCTTTGGGGTTGGGGGTTTCAATATTTGCTAACATTATGACTAGAGACCGTATCCGTCAGAATCGAACAGCGTTTTAAGTCGACAGATGATGTATTATTCAGCAGCCCAAACACCAAAGAGAGGCCACTGAGTGAAGGAGTGAGAGATGACGGGGTCTCCCTTATAGACCCGCCATCTATTCTGGGAGGATTTGTGTAAATGTTTTACATTACTTGTAGGGTGGAAGATTCACAGAGTGTTGTAGAGACGTGGCAGTCAGAGCATTATGTTACATTTACAGACACAAATGAGGAAGAGGAGAGAAAAGAAGAGAAGAAGGACCGTAAAACGGCAACAAAGACACCACAGAAAAGAAGCTGTGCCAGAGAAAAGAAATGTTTCCCAGACATTGAAGCAGAGAGACATTTTAAATTGATTTAGAACAGCCTCAATAGCAGCATAAATGTCGTATGTACCGGTCTTCAATGTTGTTATTATTACTGACAACAATTGACAACGGCTTTAGTCCCGCTTCACATAATCGGCTACTCATTAGTCCTCCGCTGCGCTTATTTGTTGACTACTTTTTAATCGAGAAACCGCAGTTTCATGTCACAAGGCGAGACGCATCAGTCGACTCAAATCCGATGAAGTGGGGGGACGCAGAGCTCTGGACCCAGGCAACATGCTGGATGTGCCAACAGGCAACGGTTTGCTAACACATTAGCCAAAAAGAGCTTTCTATGGTGTATGTCAGATTTGGTGTTTAGACCTTGATCTGCTGCCCCAAAATGACCACAAAAGTTTCTTTTCTGGCCCCTGGTGGGGGGACGATTGGGGAGTGTGCTTTTGACTTGAACCATAACTTCATCTGAAGTCATTAGAAGGTATATAATAGATCTGAAGATTAGCTTGTGATTAATAAACTAGCTCAATAAGAAAGCAATTACGCACCTTCAGCAATAACATGTTGCCAGAATTCTCTCTTTGGCACTATACTTACATGTGGCTCTTAAAGTGGTGACTATTATTTCCATCTTTTAGATCTGGAGGGTTGAGAGCAGTGGCAGAGTTCCTGTCGACCCAAAGGGCTACGGTCAGTTCTACGGGGGGGACTGTTACATCATTCTGTACACCTACGGGAAGAGGCAGATCATCTACACCTGGTATGACACCGTTCACTGAGCTGGTTTTTCATAAGCAACAAAGAGTTTCACTTCCTCTGTAATATGGTCTGATGCTCTGCACCAAGCTTCCTGATATATGTCGATCATATCTGTGGTTTATTAGCCGAGCTGTGGGGAACTGCAGGGTTGATAATTCTCTGTTGTTTTGTCACTAAGATGACTCTCACGTCCCAATTATTTGCTTGATCATTGTTGATGTAAAATATAAAAATATAATTAAGTTTAAGGTTTACTCAGCATTGTCACATGTCTCTTCTGACCTGTAGGCAAGGAGCCGGATGCTCTTTGGATGAGCTAACAGCTTCGGCCTTCCTGACCGTAGACCTGGATCGTTCACTGGGAGGGTATGCAGTTCAGGTACAGCCAGTGTGAAACAGAATAAAAAGCATGTGCAATGGATGCCTGAAATAGCTCATGAATCTCTCTCTGCCTAATGAAGTCAAATGTGGTTTGCAACGCTTTGTCACATGAAACAGTAATCCAGTAAACTACATGCTTAGTGAATGTCTTAGTTTATCACGAACTGCAGCTCGGTTCATATGTTAATTAGCAGACTACAGAATTGCTTGCAGGTGGATTTGTACAGAGCCAGGTTAGCTAGTTCCTCCTATTTCCAGTCTTTATGCTAAGGTAAGCTAACTGTTTCCCTGGCTGTAGCTTCAAAACGAATAAGCATATTTCCTAAAAGGTCAAACTATTCCTTCAACAAAAACAGCACACACAATACAATAACACTGCTCAAAGTTCAAAAACAAACAGAAACCAAGACTTAGAGGCGGTGTACTGTAGAATTAAAGATAAAGGTTTTGGCATCAATTTTATTTGGAATTGCCCACAGCTTTTGTGTGAGTGTGAGTGTGTGTGTGTGTGTGTGTGTGTGTGTGTGTGTGTGTGTGTGTGTGTGTGTGTGTGTCATCAGGTCAGAGTGTGCCAGGATAAAGAGCCCCCACATCTACTGAGCCTCTTCAAATCCAAACCCCTCATTGTATATAAGAGTGGTACGTCCCGCCTCAGAGGCCAGACCCCCCCACCTCCAACCCGACTCTTTCAGGTACGACGGAACCTGGGCACCATCACCAGAATTGCTGAGGTGAGCATTTACAATGGTTTACAATGGCAGTATATTTACAATGGGCATTTTGTCCTTTTTCAGGTAAAGGTGTTGGATGTCTCATATGTTTCAGGTTGATGCCAGGGCATCCAGTCTGAACTCTAATGATGCCTTCCTGCTGAAGATGGCTGATGGCCGGGGCTATCTGTGGATGGGCAAAGGGGCCAGTGAAGAAGAGGAGAAAGGAGCAGACTACATGAGTAAAGAGCTGAACTGCAGCAGCAAACATGTCATGGAGGAAAATGAACCAGGTCATCACCTACATTTCACTTCCATACATAAAACACAAATACCTTCTGCTGACGGGGGAGTTTGGATGATGATGAAATTCAAACAAACAACATGAGTGACAGCTGTGACTCAAAGCCAGTAAAACTGGTACTAAAATAAACCTGTGAACTGGGCCAGCATTGGTTGTGCATGGCTAGCAGTGTATGAATGTAGTACAGAGCTGCTGCAGCAGGATGTAATGATTTAACACAGGATGTGTCAGACAGCTGGACTAGTCCTACCTTTATTTCAGAATTATTTATACTATAGGCAAACAACCTTCCATATTTTGCAAAAAACAGAAAAATACCTCTGTCAACAAGAACATAAGCAGGAACAAGCATGAGAAGAATGTGTGCTGTGTAAAGTCCGATGGCAGCTGTGTATTTACTGCGTGATGCAACAGAGCAGAGAGCTAGCAGCTACGGATCTGGTACACCACCCACCATCAAAGCGACCACACCCTTAACTATGCTTAACTTTAATCTTAATATCATTTAAACAGGGTAGTTTATTAAAGATTCATCAAATGTCATTCAATGTCAGTGTGTGTTTTGTGTTGCAGATGATTTCTGGGCAGCATTAGGGGGGAAGACAGAGTACCAGACCTCAGCAAGACTAGACAGTCAGACCATCACTCACCCTCCTCGTCTGTTTGGATGTTCAAACAAAACCGGCAGGTTCATAGTAAGTATTTCACCTACGTCAGAGGTCAACAGGGTGACCGCGACCCCTAGGGGGTCCGCGGAGGTACTGGTCGTGAAATTTTTGGTTGATTTGACAACGATTTTTGTAGGCACTTTTCCATGACCTGCTTTAATCCCAGGTGATGATCATTATGTTTTGAAACAACAGTTACCTGTTGGTTCCTCATGTGATCAGTATAATCTGTGAGAAACACTGCAGTGAGATGTTGTGCAGCAGTATTCTAACCAGTGCCATCATGTGTGCAGATTGAGGAGGTTACAGGAGAGTTCACACAGGATGACCTGGCTGAAGATGATGTGATGCTGCTGGATGTGTGGGACCAGGTACTGTACACAGCTGTAGCAAAGGTTAGGTCATCTCTGGACAAACTCCACAGTCACTCTAATGTCCTGTTGCAGGTGTTTACGTGGATCGGAAAGGATGCCAACGAGGTAGAGAGGACTGAATCCGTCAAATCTGGTGAGCTTTTGGATTTTGACTCATCTCCGTGTGTTGCTGTTTTAGTTGACTGTGGCTCAGTGCTACAGCAGGGTCGTCCTTCAATCAGAGGATCGGAGGTTCGATCCCCGTCTACGCTAATCCATGTGGATGTGTCCTTGAGCAAGAAACTTAACCCCAAGTTGCTCCTGTAGCTGTGCCTGCAGTGTGTGAATGTTAGTTAGTCCTGATGGGCAGGTGGCAGCTTGCATGGTAGCTCCTGTCATCAGTGTGTGAATGGGTGTGAATGGGTGAATGATGACGTGTAGTGTTAAAGCTTTGAGTGGTCGGAACACTAGAAAAGAACTGTACATCCATTAACCTTTCATGTCTTTTAATTTACCACAGAATTTGTCTTCGTTGAATTTCACATGTATAAAACAATAACCTCTTACTGCCACATGAGGTCACTACTAACATGGGACACTAACTTATTGGCAACACCACCCAGATGTAGCTGTTTGCTTCCCCTTAACAGTGACTCTTCGTCTCCCCTGCAGCCAAACGGTACATAGAGACTGACCCGAGCGGCCGGGACAAGCAGACTCCTGTGGTGGTGGTGAAACAAGGCCATGAACCTCCCACCTTCACAGGCTGGTTCCTGGCCTGGGACCCCTCCCACTGGGACTCTGTCACCAGGAGCATGAAGTCCATGCGTCTTTAGAATCAGAACATACAGATATATTGATCCACTCACAACAACTGAAATAGGTTCCTTTACATAACCAGTGTGATCAAATAAAGACATTCAGTTGTTTTCTGTGACATTTTTAATTGAAAATTGTGTTTGTACTGGTACTTTACCACATGCAGGCACAACTTTCACATTGACATATAATGACCCCCTTATTGTCAGTCTCTGGCATGTTGGGAAGGTTGGGAATCTCTGGTCTTTGATTTGTAGCTACTTCGGAATAATTCTTATAAAATGATTTATTTGACATGGTGCTTGTATCCAAACTTACTTTAAAAAGTGAAGTGATATAAGACATGATATTGATGTTGATCTTCTAATCTCACTGTTGGTAACAAAGGGAAGGAATACTGTGGGCGACTGTGGCTAAGTGGATAGCAGGGCCGTCTTTCAATCAGGTGGTTCAAATCCACCGGCTCCGGCTCTGCTAGTCGCATGTTGATGTGTCCTTGAGCAAAACACTTAACCCCAAAACTGCTCCCGTAGCTGTGCCTACGGTGTAGAAATGTGATAGACTCTGAATTGTAAGTTGCTTTGGATAAAAGTGTCTGCTAAATGTAATGAATAAGTGTATTTCCCATAAATGTTGAGCTATATTCCTTTAGAGCACGTCAGGCTGTCATTCTGGAGAACAGTATATTTTCTGTTCATGGCACTTTCTTGTTGGACTAAGTACAGATACATTAAACTAGCTAGTAGAATCCACTGGAAAGACATTTACCGCTCACCTCTATTTGAGATTCAAAAGCACTTAATAAATGGTACATAACTCACTTTAATGTATCTGTTCGAACGTATGTCAAGTGATTATGAATTGATATTATGATAATTATGACCTATCAGTTATTAATTATGTAGATTCAGTGCATCTTCTAAAAGGATGAATAATTCTGGCTACTGCAACAATTAATATGAGACATGTTGGATAAGATTGCATCAGTTCCATTAATTATCTTAATGATATAATCTGGAGGTTTCACAACATCTGAAGCATTCTTCATTTCATTTTGAGCTTTAAAATGATGTTCAAAGTAAACTGCATTAGAAATTACACTTTGTGATTGTGTAGAAAATATTATATTATCAATAATATATCAATAATGTCTAAATAAAAAACATTGCATCAGAAATTTCACTCTCAAGGTCAAAGACTCAAAAACTGCTTTTGTGAATATCTGAGTCCACATTTAAAGCAGAAAGCTGAAGAAGACACATCAGTAATCAAAATGTGTAATATCATGTGTGATCTAATTTGACATTTTTTATACTTTCACTTTGCCACACCTACAAATCTTTTCAACACATTGACGGAGTTGAATGTCTCATACAGAATGTTTTCACGGATTGAAAAGGGTGATGTACGAGCACAGGTTCAAACGTTCAAAAGCCCATAGATGTTATTTCAGGATCATACTTCAGCCATTAGATGTTCATATCAAACTACTGGCAACATTGGGATTCAATAATTCTTGTTTTGGTATAACGTCATAGGTGTTACTCTTACAGTACATCCACTAGAGGATTATTAAACAAGTCTCCTGTAGGCTGTAAGCAGGCTGGTCATAGTCAACTACCACAGAGTGGATGTTAGTCCACTATCAACTACACACTGACTGAAATTCTCATCCCAGTGTCATTACCTCTTACTGCCACATGAGGTCACTGTGTGACATGTGAGAATGATTATGGGAACCAACAATCAGATGTTGCAGCTGTTCTTTGTGATGAGAGCTTGATCAAACAAAAACTGGTGTTATTTTATGAGAAACTAGTTGTTTTGGTCCTTAGATATGATTGGAATCATTTAGATTCTTCATTCTTTGTAATTGTTCATTGTTCATTTCTTTTCTTTTTTATCAATCAGTTTGTATTAAAAAAAAAAATACATTTAAATGTATATAGTGTTTAGTGTATTAATTTGCCAAGAATACAGGAATTGGGAAATACACTTCGGCTACATCCACACTACTACGTTTTCCTTTTCAAACAATCTCCGTCAGACTAACACGCCTGAAAACACATACTGTATCTCATGACCATTCACGTACACCAGGCATGCGGATGCCATTGTAAACAGGAAGTATATTGTCTACGCTGTGGATGGTTGCTTAGTTACAGAAAATACAATAGATCTCTGCCGTAAAACATTGGATTGCACCTTCCGGATTGGGAATGAGCGAGTCCATGGGCCCAATCCCAATCTCCCCCTTTACGGACTCATAGGCTTTGAGGCGCGCTCCAGCGAAGTCCGTGAGGGTTTAGGGGGGACATTGGGATTGGGCCTTTGGGTACATCCCAAGTATCTTAATTGTCATTTCCTCGCTCCTCGCTTGAACCGGAAGTTGTTTTGCTCCGCCATATTGACGGCCATCCTAAAGCTCTTATTTAGCTCGGAGGATTGAGGATCGAGGAGTGAGGAGGGATCTCAGAGGAGCCATGAGCAAGGACGCACGAGAACAGCCTTCCAGGAAGTGTTTTAACGGCTGACACGCCCCCTCATTGTTCATCAGTTATGTGATTGGACGCTGCAGCTGATCGGACTGACTGACTGGCCCAGTCCCAACGTCCCCCCTAAAGCCTCAAACCCTGAACCCTTACTTACTGACGTCACCTGGTTAGTGGGTGAGTGTGAGAGACTGTGAGGGCTTGAGATGGTGTAAATATGAACGGGACAGCACTTTGCTGCAACATATCACGTTACCATGAAAACGACAAGAAATATGATGTATAATTGTGTGTATATATTTTATACGTTGTATTCCCTGGTTTGAATGTCTTCAGGCTCTTTCCTCACAAGATGAGGTCATTCATATAATATATTTACTCGTTTTTGTCAAAACAGCTTCAATGACAAAAATATTTGATTTTGTCATTGAAGCTGTATAAATGAATAAATATTCTCTGATTTCATGTGTTTTTATCTTCCATCTTTAACCCTTAATCAAAATCATATTTTGGGTTAATTAATAATGACGTCACAATCTGAATTTCAAAATGTACAAATGCATTCCTTTGGTAAACATTGATCCTGCGCTTATAAACAGAACACAGTTTGTTAAAGAGGTAACAGGCTACAGAGAGAAACACCTCTACAGTGGTGATTACTGTGTGTCTTTATTAGTTATTAGTATTATTAGTTACTATTATTAAGTACAGTGATCATGTGAACAGACACAAACTTATCAAAAGTCTCTCCAGCTGTTAAAGCCGACTGACAGCTGATCTGTGATCAGCGTCACAGACGTCGCTTCACGTGACGCAACTGAGGAAAGGACGTCTCATGTCTCTTAAAACATATTTCCTCGTTTCCTCTCTCCTCGCATGGTTTCCTCCATGCATCCCTGGTGGGAGGGACTAAGATGCAAGGAAAGGACCCAAGTGAGGGAAACGGGGATGACATTAAGAGACTTGGGATGTACCCAAAGTATATCGGGGTCTTGTTCACGAGTGAAGGTAAAATCAAGCGTCTGCAGTGCTGTGGGCGTTGTACCGGACCGTTGTGCTGAAGAGGGAGCTTAGCCGGAAGGCTTGGAGTAGACACTGCTCCTTCGTGTCGAAAGGGGCCAGCTGAGGTGGCTCAGGTATCTGATCAGTATGCCCCCTGGACTCCTTCCTTTGGAGGTTTTGCAGGCACATCCAACTGGTAAGAGGCCCCGGGGTAGATCCAGAACACGCTGGAAAGATTATGTATCTCGTCTGGACTGGAAATGCGTCTGGGTTCCCTAGGAAGAGCTGGAAAACATTGATAGGGAAAGGAACATCTGGAGCACCCTTCTAAACCCCCTGCCCCTGAGACCCGGGGTTCTAAAACACCAGAGTAGTGTGGACGCTAGGCGTAAAACGCAACAAAAGTTATGCATTTTAAAACGAAAAGTTATTAGTGTGGATTTGACCTAATTTGCTTTCATTCCAAGAATGAAATGAGAAGATCAAAAATGCCTTTTGTGTTGGAGTTGAAGTCCACACAGGCCCTTGCAGTCATGCTATTTAACTTCAGGAAGGACCTTTACTGGTTGGTGAATGTTTTGTCAAATGTTTTTTCTTTGTGATTTAATACCAGTTTCTACCAGGTTAGTTTGTTTACATACTCTTCAGTTCTATGAATAAGATGATGTATTTGTTGGTATTTTGTTCAGGATGAAGCACAAGATGGGACAATCTCACATGCGTAGGCTACATACTGGTCATTGCGCCCGAATCAGAACTGCACTCACTTAAGCACCACATAGTGGTGCACAAGACCACTTATACAACTTCCAATTCTGACCTTGGATCTGACATGGGGGTTAACCAGTCTCCTGCTTAGGTGCACACTTGAGGTAGAGAATGTGTAAATGAAGCTTGATGCCCCAGTGGAATAATCAGCCAAGAAAATTAATGCCATTTTAATCCGAGCACAAGTAGAAATTATTTTCACTTGGATGGTAAAAGCACACAATGGGACATTTCTGACAAAAAATAAGAGGAAGGTTATGTGGACTCTGTGTTAAAAAATAATGATTAATAAATAGTGATTAATAAATAATAAAGTTTCTGGATTTTTGATAAGTTTGTTCCAATTATCAGAAATTATTATTTGTGAATGATGATTTCAATGAAAACCAAAAGCCAAACCTCTAATGTACAGAATTACAAACTATAATTACAAAAATAATGTTATTATTACAAACAATAAATTAGAACAAACATATAGGCCTACTACAAAGTGTAGGACTTTGCTATTCATATGTCAGTTTCTGTGATTGGTCGAGTTTCTTTCACTCAGGAATTCAAGTTTGATTCTGAACGCGCGGATCGTATGTCAAGCTGGACACGCCTTCATTTACGTCTTCTCCACCTCAAGTGCACACCTCACATGCACTGTCTAGAGTGGCTGCAATCGGTCCAGCAGACGCTCATGGGGGAATCCAGGCGCAAAAAAATGGTCTTACGTTCCACGCATTGCAGGTCCGAATCAGGCCATTTAGAGGAAATCATACTTTCACTGAGTGGCCCATGTGTGTCTCAGAAATAAAGAAGCATACACCAATGGTCCTTGTTAGTGCAGATAAAATGATCCAGCCTCACAAGTTAAGTTCAGCAGCGGAAAATGCATCTCAAAGAGGATCCCATCATTTTTGCAGAGATGTCACGCCCCTCGGCGTCTGATACTAACGCATAAAGCACACTTTAGCGTCGCACCGGGCTTTCAAGTAACTACAGTATGAACACATCTGTGTCATCATTAGACACTCAGAGAAAACGACCGATTCTCACTCCCAGCTCGTCAAATACCACCGCTGTGTCAGTTCCCCTCGGCATCGGAGATCAACCAATGGCCCCCTTCAACAACTGTATGTGATGCACCGGTGTAGCTCCAATGTAACCCTCCCACAGCATTCATGGACATTAAGAGCTTGTGACTTGACATAATGT